ATACACCTACAGCGCCCATAAACAGTACGCCAGCGGGGCAGCCGGCGCCGCAGCTTTCACTGGCCTGCCCTGCCCGTTTCGTAATCTGTTGCTGGAATGGCTGCTCGCTCATGAACGTTGGGACCGCCTCTACACAAGCACAGACGTCACGACCGACCAGGTCCTCTCCCTCGCTCGCCCCTCTCCGCCTCTCTCTCTCTCTCTCTCTCTCTCTTTCTCTCTCTCCAAAACTCTCTCTATCTCTCTTTCTTTATCTCTCCCTCGCCCTCTCTCTCTCTCTCTCTCTCTCTCTCTCTCTCTCTCTCTCTCTCTCTCTCTCTCTCTCTCTCTCTCTCTCTCTCTCTCTCTCTCCAAAACTCTCTCTTTCCCTCGCTTTCTCATCCTTGCTCTCCTCTCCTCTCCCCTCCTCTCCTCCCCTCTCTCGCATTCTCTCACTATCTCCCACGTTTGACAAAACATCGTGAGACGAAGTGACGTGCAAAATCTATTGACTTTATAAAGGAGGTAGTTAAGCGTTGTGTGGGTTATCATATCTACTATAAGTCACGAAAAAGCATGGTAATGATTACATGTAAAATTCACTCTCATAATCTGGTGGCTACAGCCATTAACTGCTAACAACTGGAAGATGACAAGACCAGCATCGCACTTTTAAAGACCTTCAGTAGCGTGAAGCTTTCAAGGTTTAGTACCCATCAACAGATCATAGCGCTGAACGTTTAGCAGGCACTCCCAGTGTAACCTTTCACCTCATTAGCGTCTCCAATCGAACCTGGCGTCGATCAGGGTCAGAGGTCGAGGCCCGGCACCCAGCACCATAACATTGCCACTGAGAGCCGGGCCGAGGTGCGCCATCAGCCGCGACGAGCAGTGATATGCACAGACCGTGCCATCAGCCTTTGTCTCTCGAGTATACCACTCCCATCCGTATCCAATCATAGCTCTGCGGGCCGCTCTGCTATTGGTCGGGTGAGTCAGTGACAGTCGCCGGGGCTACTGGAGGTCAGAGGTCGCGGTACCGTCGGCCGCGGGCAGACGCAGGGGTCAGGGGTCAGCCGAGGGATGTCGTGCAAAGTTGCAGGGGCACTGGTGGAGTTAGGATAGTCAGGGGACAGATAAAACGCTGGCTCCCAGTTTCGGGTTTCAATTACGAATCGACAGAGGGCATATGGCGATGCACTATGTGACGAATTGTGCTGAAACTACAAATATGCGTCAATTGGGAAAGGCTCCCAATTGTGAATGAATGCTCCCAATCAAATCGAGAATAGGGTTAATGCTAGATTAATATTGAGAGACAATGGCAAAGTCCCTATTATCTTCTTACTGATAGAATTGCCAGACAAAAAATGGACGCACTATTTGTTTATTGTGTGAATACTGTGTGTTCTGAAATTTCGAACAAACATTTTGCTCCTCTTACCTACTTGAAGCGTTCCTTGATGATCATTAAAAAAATGTTCTGGGGCCTCTAGGTCGATCATAAGTTAACTGACCCCAAAATGTAAATCAAAATCCAGACAGGCTCCCTAATGAACAGAACAGCTCTACTGTGCGTTCATCGACATACTCATCCCAACAGAATATGCACCTGTGGTGAGTGTGGGGCCCTCCTAAACAATAACGACCTCCCCACCAACAGGTGGTTGTCGCCGAGCCTGGTCGCCAAAAACGAACGCCAGCGACCACGCCGGTTAGACCGCGGACATGCGCACCTGAATGCAGACTGCGGAGTGTGTGATGGAACCGTGGGCTACGGTAAAGCATGTTTCATACTGCACCTGAGTATTGACCCAGCCGGGCAGTAGTGCGACATTTCGGGAGCCCGCCCCAACAGTAAAACGCTTAGCCCAGGAAGATTGATGACCGTATTAGCGCGTTTAGGGCGCTGTTTGCTGTCCGAACTGCGAACTTGTTTATGTCACTGATGCAATGCCGATGCTTCTAGATACTGTCGCATTATGGCAACGGCTTATCAAGGAAATGGATTGACATCCTTCGCACAATAATTCTTTGCAAGTAAACGTTTCGGTATGTAAGCCTAATGGCGGAAGCTGTTTTACTGTATCAAGGAACTGGACACAAAAGGTCAAGGTTTATATCGGCAGCGAGTATTCGACATAATTGTTACAAAAAAGCTTGAGCCGGTTATTACGTCCTCTGGCACTGAGCATACGAGGCCACATGCAGTGTACACGAATACAGAAAAATGGCGCCATCCAAAGAAAAACTCGAGCAAAACAGCACAGCAAAGCTTCATATATAAAGACTTCGACCAGCGCTTCCTGAACGCAGTCGCCCTAGTTCGTGACCATTTCAGCGCCAGGCCGGTGCGTCGACTCAGCGGCTCAGCGACTTAGCGGCTCAGCGGCTCAGCGGCTCAGCGGCTCAGGGTCCAGAGGTGCTCAGAAGTTGCGTCATTCGACCACTGGTCGACATCAATCGGCCGTTCGTGTGACGTTCGGGTGGTGCGCACTTTGCCGTGAGTCAGGCGAGGCCCGGTCTTTGTGAGCTGTGAGGAAGAGCCATGGAGAGCTATGAGGGAGCTATGGAAGAGCGGCTACACCTTGGGCGCCGTCAGCCCCGGGAAGTCGAGATCTCGGCCCCAGGTGTCCTCGGGAAAATTGGGTGCCTTCGACCTACATGTCGGAAGGTTCGCGTATGAATTGTTTGGTCCTGGGTTCAGATTTCCACGCTAGAAAGACGGCCGCATCCTCACTGAGTTTAAGTTTTCAGGTCTGAATGTCGGAACAGGAAAAAGCATGGGATAAAGTGAGCGGTGGTGTTACATATATGGCGATGTGCATTAACTGATGGCATGTCACAATGTTTCTTTCAGTTCATGTGCAGTTGCATTCCAGGAAGACATAAAACAACATATAAAAGAAAAACATTAAACCTGTTCCAAGTTGTAGAAGACAAGCGAACCCATAAGTACATGCTAGTGCATAGTGGGGAAAAACGTCGCGCAGTGTAGTTCAGTTCCTTCTGCAGCCCGGTATGGTTGAGAGGTCCGTTATTTGTCAAACTGGTTCTCCGGTACAGCTCGAACAGTGTCGGCCTGATGGAAAGGCGCCCCAGCCACTCAGGGTCAAAACGGACAGAACTGCAGTGAGGTATTTCCAGTACCGAAAGCGGGTGAAAACCGGAATAGGCCACAACTTTCTCAAAAGAAACTTGACAGTTTCAAGGCCTCAGACGCAGGCTTAGCTTGGATGAACAGAAAACGTTATCCTTCTGAACGGCTTGGAAACGGTGAGGCTTGTAAATGGTTCTAACGCCACGGTAAGTTAGATTCAACTTTTGATTGAATTGAGCACAACGCCTCAACGCCTTAACTGATGGGCTAGGTGGTATGAAGCATGAAGGTTACCTATATACTCGGTGTACAGCGTAGTTTAGGCATGTATGAGATAATATCACAATAGATAATAGCCTAACCCAATCCATAAGCTAGGCATGTATGCCAATATGCTGACTGCCTGGATAACTCACCTGGAACTGGGCGAGCTGATAGCCGACCCCACAAGAGAAGAACCTGCACCGTTTCCCGGACATACCGATCTGTCCTACCATAGACATGTGTATAGGTACCGTATACAGAGGTCTGTGGTCCTACACCTATCGATATGTTGAGCTCTGTGAACATCATTCCTTTTCAACATTTATAGTCAATTCAGGTGCTCGTGAGCCAAAAATGCCTAAATATTGTACTGACATTGTATCGACCAGGCAGCCACGTTCATACCGAAACGATAGAAAACGACACTGGCTGTTCCACATAGTCTCGATGATGTTATCAATGGAGTAAACAATTTGCTGTTAGTGGAATTGAATGCATACAAAACAACGCCCTTGGATTGTTAGCAGGCAGCAAAGCGGAAAACGAGGCCAAATGGTGGAGCGGTGTCCCTATTGTTCCGGGATGATCAGAATACAGTCCGCTTTTAGCCACGGCCACCGATGACGTCACAAACTCACGGTCGGTTACCAGATTGGTGCCAGCTTCAGCACACATGCAGCCGGTTCACTGGATTTCGACCGCATTATTGCTCAAATGGAAACGCATCACCAAACTTCAGTGTTAGTCAAACTTATCTTGAAATAATTCAATGGAAAGGATCATCCTAAGGAGTTAGCCGGCAAGTTCAATTTGAATTTATTCTAAATTTCTAAATTTGGCGGATCATCATAGCGCTTTGCCTCAGAAGAGAGCGGCTATGCATACGGCAGTAGTCGTTACATCACTGTACATGTGAAAGAACTAATGTTCCTATTAGCCTTCCTGTGCATGAAAACACCTCCCACCGCCCGCAATGGTTTAGTCCGTGGTTGTCATGGCAACTGTTGCCGGTGCGCGGGATCGATCCTGGCCCAGAGATGCCTCTGGCCACGTGGGGCACGTATCATAGCTACTGCACAGTGCAGCGGTGGAGGACACTTCACTGCGCAGCGAAACAAGCCGTATTTGCCTGTGCCACTTATGAATTATACACGGCACCTTGCTACCTGCATGTGTAAACCGGGACGTGAGGGCGGTATCGCGGCAAAATGCCAATGCCGGGTGAGCGCTGCAATCCAGGAAACGTAGGAAGAATAAAATGGAGAGGGATGGAGAGAGAGGGAAAGAAGACAGAGAGAGAGAGAGAGAGAGAGAGAGAGAGAGAGAGAGAGAGGGAAAGAGGGAGAGAGAAATAGAGTGAGAGAGGGAGGTAGGAGGGTGGGAGAGAGTGAGTGAGTGAGTGAGTGAGTGAGTGAGTGAGTGGGTGAGTGAGAGAGAAAGAGAGAGAGAGAGAGAGAGAGAGAGAGAGAGAGAGAGAGAGAGAGAGAGAGAGAGAGAGAGAGAGAGAGAGAGAGAGAGAGAGAGGAGACATAAGGATGATCGAACGTGTTGTTTCTTCATTAATAGCGAACTCTTGGAAACAGCGACAACTTAGCTTGTTTTTTGGGGACTGAAATTCCGTCAGCCAAATCGACGCCCTCCATAGCATGACGCTTACCTGGACGAAGGTGCTGAAAGCCTTCCTCTTCTGTCCGGCCGTCAGCATAGAGTGCAGCGGGTGCAGCAGGTTGCTATTGTCAATGGCCGGAGACGGAGCGGCCTCAGCTGCCGCCGGAGCGGCTGTCGGTGCCGTCTTGGCCGCCGCTGTGGCCAGTCCAGCCATAGGCAGTCCAGAGGTCAGCGCCACCAGTCCGGCACAAGTCCCCACCACGGGCGCCAGGGCGCGCTCCACGGGCACTGGAGGCATGGCCTCCTCGGCCTCATCAGGAGCCTCGTCTAGGTGGAAGGTAACGGCCGCGGCTGCAGCAGCCGCCGCAGCAGCCTCCTCCTCACTGAGCTGCGTGTACGGCGCGTAAGACACGTCCGGGTTCACCACCTCGGGACACCGGCGGAACTGTGTGTTTATGTCTGAGCGAGACTTCTTGGAGCGCGAGAACGACAGCCTCTTGGGCATCTTGATCTTGGGCGTGATCCTGCCTGAGCCTTCTGTGAAGTTGGAGAGCGATGAGCGCTCGGAGCGGTCGTCGCGGCGCGGGTGAACACCAAAGTCCTCAAACACCTTCAGCAAGTCGGGGGACGCCCAGGGGTACAGGTAGCGTATCGCCGTGTGCTCGTCCATGCCCCTCATCACCTCTGCCTCCGGTACACGCTCGTCCAGATGCTGCTGGTGGATCTCGGCGCGAATTTTCTCGGCCACGTCTCTAAACCTTCTCAGCTGGACCTTCTCGGGGTCAGCGCGACGTGTTCGGTCGGACTCCTCTCGGGTCACCACCTGGACCCGTCGGCGGTGCAGCAGGTTCCTCAGAGAGTTGAGACCCAGCGCGGCGATCCCGCGAGGCCTCACTCTCTGGGGGTGATCCTCATCAGCGCTAGGTTCCTCCTCGAGTCGCCAGGCCAGCGCACGCGGGTCGCCGACAGAGCGGCGTCTCTCGGCGACCGTCACCGGTCTCTGCGTCTCGCTGTCCATGCTGAGCCGCCGCTGGTGGTCGGGCTCGGCGCTGGCCGGCCGCTGCTGCAGCGGCTTCAGCTCCACCTCGTCGACCGCGTCGCCGGCGACGTTCTGGCGCCGCCGGACCGACGGCTCGGGGCCGTCCGAGTCGGACACGTCCAGGGAGCGTTGGCGCAGGTCCGACGCGCACGCCTCGTGCTCGCAGCACGCGCACGGCAGCTCTTCGCACTCTTCACCAACCGACGAGAGCCGCATGCTGGCGCCGAACTGGGCCAGCTTGGGGCGCCGCCGGGCGCCAGTGGGCGCCGAGTCCAGCATCGCTGTATCACCGCGAGCCGCGCGGCCTCGCACTCGACCTTGGCGCAGCGGTCGAGCGAACGAACCGAAACCGGCGCGCGAGCGGACGAGGGGGCGGACCGGGTCGACCGGCTAAAAACTGGCCTCACTTGACACCGCTGCTGGGAAGGAGGGTCGACGAATGCGGTAGCGGCAGCAAAGGACGCGGGTCTGAACACTCCTTTACCTCGCCACTCCGCAGAAGGTTTGTGATCAATGCGGTCCGAATGGAATATCGACCGGACGCTCGCGTGGCGCTTCACACGGAACCAGTCGGCTGGTCCGGTACGAGGGCGCTACCCAGACACGAATGGGCCGCTTTCACAGGACCAGAGTTTCCCGGTGACGTGTAGCCACGCGTCGCAGACCGCAGCGCCACTGAGGACGCTACTTCCAGCTCAGCGTCCCAAAAACGTGGCAGTGCTCTGCCCAAACGTGAGGCGTTTCTCCTCTGTTCTACTGGCCGTCAGGTGTTATCGTCTCTCCACCTAGCCACTCAGAGCACTGTCACACTCACTGTGGTAACTCACGCACGCCGCACACCCCACCCCGAGCACTAGAAGCCGGCAACTGCCTGTTGCTCAGCGGCACAGCCGGGCAGGCGCTGCCACCGACCGCCGGCCGTCGACTGCGGCTCTGGCTTGGCGCACGGCGACAGGGCGTCCCCAAGTCGCGGCGGGGTGGCCGAACGGCGCTCGCAGCCCGCCGCCGAAGCCCGAGCCGAGATGTCAGATTGGGGAAATGTGCTGCCGACCGGCCGGCCGGCTGGGGGGGGGGGGGGGAGTTGTCCTGTGCAGTGTCACTGGACAAGCGACGTCCACCAGCCCCGGCGCCACCCTGTGTCGCCGGGACCATCACACAGAGCCGCACAAGGCGGCTGGTGATCACCATTCACCGCAATGTCGCCGGAGCCACCACGACGCCATTAAACGGACATTAATACTGCGTAACGAGGGTGCTCCCAGTGAGAGCTTCCCCGTGCCGGCCACGGCAATAACATAGTAGACGGCAGGTAATACCACCGCAGCCGCCCGCAAAGGTCTCTCACGGTACCGCCCGCGCTGCACCGCTAAAGGCAGCTCAGCTCAGCTTAGCAGCCCGTCTCAGCAGCTCAGCCCGACCACACACGGCCCACGTTACATAGCTACTCAATGCATCAGCTGGAACTGGATGCGATCGTTTCACGAACGGCAAATGCCGCCCAGATGCCACTTCGCCATCGCGACGGCCGCGCCAGCTCGCAAATGAGCTCATTTTTGGAGAGAGCAGCTGAAGTTTGGACTGCCTTCCGGGTACATATCGGACAGAGTTCCGTCTGGGCTTTGTACTTTTGCCGTCTCCGTCTGCAGCGGGGAAGCACAGAGCGCCCGGACTTCAAATTACTTTTCAATTAATGTATGATTATCTTGCGATCTTGTGATTATCTTGCGTCTAGCTTGCGATGATATCTGCGTCACAAAATGTCGTCGAATGTCGGACAAAACTCTGTTCAAAAATGTCTGTTTAGGTCTACTCGGACATCCGAAATAAATAAATTATTGACTGAATCGATCTGAGTTAATGCCAACAAATAGGCCGCTCAGTCGTTCTTAAATTAGCCACAGCTGATGCTCAGATGAACGTGATACAAAGTACGGGATGGCATTCGTTCGAGCAGACCTAATCAGACCCAGTCACAGTCTGGTCAGATCAGCGATGAGGGTGGTGATCAGACGTTCCGCAGTGCAGTATGAGGCACTTGAGGCCCGCGGGACTTCTGACAGATAGACGGCACAGACAGACCAGACAGACAGACAGACATAAATACAGACATGCAGACAGACAAACAGACATGCAGAAAGGCAGACAGACAGACAAACAGACAGACCGACAGCCAAACAGAACGACAGCCAGACAGACATACAGACCGACATACAGATTACAGACATGCAGACAGACACTAGACAGATGACAGACAAACAGAAAGACAGACAGACAGACAGACAGACAGACAGACCAACGCTTGTTGCTATTTAACCCGCGCGTGCTGGTGGCCTGTTTTCCGTGTCATGCTGGGACCTCTAACTCGGCTCCTGGGCCACGTAGCGACACGCGGTAAGCGGCAATCGAAAGAGGGTCAAAAATATAACGACAGAAACACTTCGGTTATTTTTAGGACAGGTCAACGGTCAGGTCACCAGAGGTCATCAAAGCTCAAATTTAGTCCATTTCAATAATTTTGGAAACTGCCAACGGCTAACTCGGGAACCAATTGAGCTAAAGCGTCGCGGAAACGCATTCGATAGCCCTTTTACAGATCTTTCTGGATATTGTTCTCAGATTTGACCCCAGGCCAACGGTTTAGCCTCCAAAGAGGAAAAACCTCTAAAGATAGCTCTTTTTACGATTTTTTTCTTCACTTTTCACTTTTCACTCTTTTCACTTTTTTTTCGGAAATAACTTTTGACTCAAAAGAACCATGACATTACTTATGGCAACATCGTTTTCTTCTCGTCGAGACGCGTCGAATGAACTATTATTTGACCTTGAAGGGTCATTTCGAAAATTTGACCTCAGGTTCAAAGTCATGACCTGACCGGAAAGGGTGATGTTGCATTTCAGTCGATTCGTATCGTCGAGCTAAACACATCTGACGTGTTTTCACCACTCTAGAACGTCTCTATCAAAAGTTATAGCAAAAAAATTGACGGTGACCGTTCATGACCTGAGATGACCCCAGGGGCACACAGAGGGGTCCCAGGCGTATTTTTCCCCGAATCAGTGTGTCATGTTTACCTATATACCGATGGCTGAGAGGGTTTTGAACGGCATTTGTCGAAAAGAGGCGTATTTCAATTTTCCCCATTGACTTATAATGGAGAGGTCGCAAAACTAACCTGACCTTAGGTCACAGATATAAAATCCGGTATAAAAAATTTTATGCATATCAATCGCTGAAAGTTCCAAAGTGATTGTCCAGTTAGTGTAGCTGTAGCGAGCCTTTGCACTTTTTCTGAGGTAAGGTCACTTGACGTGACCTGGTGACCTGACCTTGAACGATTTCGGTTTGCAATTTTCATAACATGTGCGGAAATAATTTATGAACAGGGTCGCCGTTTTTGAAATATTTGCGAAAAGCCTGAGGGTGAGGCGTAAAAACGCCTCCCAGGACGGCGCGGGTCAAACGCTTTCACATCGACCACTATACATATATCTATACTATACTATACATACTATACTATATGTACATATAGTGATCTATTTCATTATCCTTCTTAGCGCCGTTTCGGCAGGAGACGTTGACTGGTCAAAGCTGCGTTGCAGGTCGCTCGCTGCTCGGTCAGACCCGCTCCACTCCCCCCCCCCCCCCCACTTCAGGGTTTCAAGGTCGCCCGGGCTAATGACCAGCGCTCAGTGCGTGTGGTTCTAGGTCAGGGTCGCATTACGGTGTGGTGGAATCGAGCCGACACAACTGATACTGCAGCTTCCCAAAGACAAGGGCATAGATAGGACTTGCAGTGCGGCGCTTTGTGTTATTATTTTATCTGGATGGCTTGCTGAATTTTATGAGTCCTGCCTCTTCAAAATGTGTAAAGGTTTTGCGCCATTCATAACTGCTGAATCCACTGAAAAGGTTTAATCAAATACTAAGAGCGAATCAGAATGCCTAGACTTGCAGAAAACCATGTGAATAAAGGATTGAGGCTCCATTACCCGGCTTATAGCTGGCAGACCGTAGGAAAATATGTTTCAACGAGTGAATTCCACCATAACGATAAAGTCAACAAGAAGGACGACGTACCCATGGGGCGGCTGGAGCGCCGCTGTGGGAACGTTACATACAACATTCAGACATTTCCCACGGCGTAAACTGAGAGGGCCAGTGTGTCAAAGGGTTTGCTCGCTATCGAGTACTCCATGTTCGTAAGGCCAAATCGTTGCGAGGGAGTTTATTTTACGACATTTTTGAACCGTTATCGAACGGATTACATGTAGTATAAACATTTGCATTAGGCGAAGCAGACCTGCAAACATCAAAACTATGGAAAAATACTGCTTTATTTTTCAAGCATTGATACCTTATCGCAGTCTTCTAGCTATTACTGAGCCTATATGTGACTGGATAAGGCAAATGGCAAATGAATTGAGCAGACGATGCACTGTTTTTCAATGTATTCGCTGTGCAATGGCAGGTCTATTGTAGGGAACATTTGTAGTTTGAACTTATACATTATGCATTCGAAATGCATCCGTAGCATCCGAAATCGATGAACCGTTCTCTCCGTACCTATCTTGATCTAAAGAGAAGAAACTTGTCGTTTTGGAAGCTTGCTTCCAATTGCAAAATAACAAGTAAGGAAGCTAGATCACATTTTTATGTTGTACGCATATAGCGGCGACCAATATCACATTCATGGACCCACTGATTGGTGTAGTTAGTAGTTTCTGGACGGTAAGTACGTTTTTTTCCATGCAGCTGCCATACCCGATCGTGTCCAGTACAAACCGAGGCCGATCACACTTCTGAGAATCAACTCTGCAGTGGCTCGGGGGTGCGGCTTTGATTGAGTCCAGCCACCAGTCGGATCCTTTTGGGACATTTCCGCTTCGTCAACATTATCGGCTAACTTTTAAACTCAGCCTGTGCTGACAGCTGTTATCACCTGCGGACTTGCTTCAGACCACAGTGCAGACTGCAAAGCAATAGCTATATGCTGCTCTGAAATCGGATACCCACTGTTTTATCGTGAATACACAACGGTCTCTTTTAGTTATGCCATAATTATGTAGTGTCTTATACAGTACTTGCTGCAACTACTGCAGCAGCCAACAAACGTTTATTTAGAGGAGTCTTTCAACGCTCCAAGGGGATATGAATGTAAAAGGGGATATAAGGGTCGAAACTGGAAATATGAAGAGGGTTCGCCCCTCACCATTCCAGCAGAGTTTGCCGCTATTTTCCTTCTAACTTCCCGAATTATGCTGCGCATTGGTTCTGACATAAACATGAGTTAACCTGGACCAACCTAACATAGCCTAGACAACCCTAACCAACCATACTCTTTTATTCTGAATTTCAACATACACAGGGTAGTTTCACGTTATATCTTTGAGTGCTCGGCATTATGTCTTCTGACTTATGAGCCTTTGCCAATAGGTCTCGGGCCAGATATAAATTTGCTCTTTTCTTTTTTGCAAGACACATCATCAAACCACTTAACAATGCGATGATTGTGACACTGCTGGTGGTGGATGTAACAGTCGAGTCGCACCGCGACTCAGTGGTGCCTTGCGGCACAGCTCACCCCGCAGGCGGTAGCACCCCGCCTGCACTATAGGCTGTACCGCACGACAGATACGCTCGGCGGCACAGCACGCTTCCGTGTTTAAACGAGTAAAACCATGTGACATTTGTTATACGCAGCGGCGCAAAGGCGCACATTGCCGCAGCGTCACAAGCAATGTCACAAGGTGCTAAATGTCAAGAAATATGTGAATACGATATGATGTTAAAGCCTGCAAAAAAACAAAACAGAAAACCACCTACCGCTTTTCAGTTTGGATCGATTTAGATTATAT